TGAGTACTATCTCCAAATGTTTCGCATGGTCTTCTCGATTCTTTGAATAGACAAGAATATCATCGATGAATACAACCACGAATTGATCAAGATAAGGTCGGAATACACTATTCATGAGATCCATGAATACTGCTGGAGCATTGGTCAAACCAAAGGGCATTACCGTAAACTCATAATGACCATAACGAGTACGGAACGCAGTCTTTGGGATGTCCCCTTTCTTTACAGGGATTTGATGGTATCCTGACCGTAAGTCAATCTTAGAGAATACAGTAGATCCTCTAAGCTGATCAAATAAGTCATCGATACGAGGTAAAGGATATCGATTTTTGATTGTGACTTTGTTCAATTGACGGTAATCGATGCAGAGTCTCATCGAGCCGTCTTTCTTTTTAACAAACAGAACGGGTGCTCCCCAAGGGGAAACACTCGGACGTATGAATCCTTTATCGAGTAATTCTTGTAGTTGAGCCTTCAACTCTTTCATTTCAGCAGGAGCCATGCGATAGGGAGTTGCAGATATCGGTCCTGTTCCAGGAACAAGATCGATGGAAAATACTACTTCTCTGGAAGATGGTATACCAGGAAGTTCGTCAGGAAATACGTCAGGAAAACCACATACTATCGGTATGTCTTTCAACTCAGGAGTTTCTTTTCGTGTGTCACGTACGTTACACAGATAAGCTTCACATTTCTTTCGAATGAGACGCCTAGCGTGTATGTACGAGATGAATTCAGTGGATCTAGGTGTTAGATTCTCTTTCACCTTTATAGACTTTCCCTCTCCAGACTTTAGTTGAATCATTCGTTGTCGGCAATCGATAATTGCTTGATGTTCGGTGAGCCAATCCATTCCGAGGATGATGTCAAATTCTTTGTACGGTAACTCGACAAGATTGGCAGAGAACTGATGTCCTTTAACCTCATACTATGTCCTAACGGGTTAGACACTAGTATAGGTTGTTCTAAGTTTTCTTTCATTATGTCAGCCTTGTCAGGCATAGGCACGCAGATATAAGATAACGTTGATCCAGGGTCTATCAACACATGCATGACAGAATCAAATAAGGAAAACATACCCTGAATGACGTCAGGGTTTTCCTCAGCTCGTGCCTTCATTGCATAAGTACGAGCAGGAGCTCGTCCCTGTTGCTGACTCTGATTCTTGG